ATGAGAGGCTTTTATGCAATTTCAAGAGTATGTAACAATCTTAACAGATATTTTTTTTTCCATGTAGTGGAATTGTGACCCAATAAAAGCTTAATGAATTAGCCAAACAACTTTATACCTGCATATTTCCTTTGATTAATTACATCGTGGAGAGATGTCTTTTTCTGTAATCTTTGGTTAAGTAGGTCTCTTAAAGGAGCTGACTGAGGAATCATTCACTTTGGCCTCAGTAGCTAATACATTTTGAACACACTTAACAAAGAAATGACATCAGACTGTCTGCCTCTTCAGAAGGAAGAACAGAAATGGAGGAAGTGTTTTCTCTGTCCTCATCTCTACAAATGGGAGTGGACTGTAGGAATGATTTTTAGGTCCAATCATCGTTAACAAGCGTTACTAGCAGCTCCCAAGCAAGGAGGATGGTTTAGAGGAAGCAATATCTTACTCTGATGACATGGAAACCATCTCCAGCCCTTGGCTATACTTAACAGACAACACGAGCAGAATTCACATTTCGCTGCCCTTGCTCTGACAGAGCTGCAGACCTTGGGCTGGCCGGACCCATGTCTCTGCTGTGTCTGTGCCCTCTCTCCACCCCGAAGGTCCTGTATCCGGACTCCGGTCAATTGCATCCTCTCCCTCTCTCATCCGTCAATGCCTGGTCTTTAACAAATTCACTCACACAGTACTGTAAGGCCCTGATTGTGGTTTTATTTTTTACTTATTCCTGGTGTAGGTACATTTTCAAGCACATCAGTAAACTAAAGAAATAAAACAATTGCTTTCTCCTTTTTATTTTAGAAATTATTTGAGTTTTATCACTGTCTGAGGGTTTCTAGGTTTTGGCAGCTGATATATAATTTGGGATTTGGGGTTTTGGCTTCTATCATTTGCTCTCTATTGAAGTGTAAGTAGATCTCTGTTTTATGATGTTTAACAGCCAAATCCTTGTCAACGGCATACACTTGCCCATCCCACCTGGAGCACATACTTGTGATTATATGTGCTTCTGACAAAATCCCAGTATCTACCTTACCATTTGCTCTACAATTAAAATCAGATTAAACATTTCAACATCATGAGTGTTCTCTGCTTTTAGAATATGACACTTTTGATCAATGCTCATGTATCACAATGAGGAGAAAGGCTGTTTTCAAGTTTTTAGGTATGGCCAATTCCAAAATGATATAGCTGTGTCTGGAAATTACTAGAGCCACGTTAAGGATGAAGTCATGCCAAATCCTGAGGATAGTCTATGTTTTAATTATCAAAATATTAAAAAATCAACCTGATGAATAAAAAAAAGTGATTTTAAAGTAGACTCTATTTTTTTTGCTCCAAATGGTATTTCTCTTTTAAAATAAACCCTCCATTATCTTAAGAGATGTTTCACGATATATTTACACAATTGCAGTGCCCTTAGCTTACCTGGCTCACATATTTTCCTCACCTCTGGGCTCTGAAGTGGGTTTTACATAAAGGATCCTGACACATTGAGATCGTTCTCAAAGCTCTTCATCAGGGTAAGTGGATGTCCGTTCCTGGCTGACTACTGACTTTATTCACATCTGGCCTAAATCCCACCACAGTGATCCAAGAGCACTTCCTGGCTCTGTGGCCTCAGAAGAAAGAAATGATCTTTAATGGTCATCAATCACCTCCAATATACAAAAGTCACCACTCAGGACGAGGGCAAATAGTCATCCAGCTTTTACTGAAATAAATCATAAATCTATCCTAACATATTAAAGTATCCAGACACAGAACCCAGAGCTTCACTTTATAGTGAATTCTGAATATGAAAAGTAAATGTAATATACTTTATTGAATACAGGAGTGTCTGAATTGAGCTGCTTTGGCAAAAAGCTTGATCTTCCCAACCCAGCTCCCAACTACTAATGACTATCACTGCCAAAGTTACTGAGTCCTCAAATATTTTCAGTGTAGTAGGGAGTTAGAGATGGTTTTCATGTCATCACAGTACAGATTGATATGATTTCTAAAATTTACCCTCCTCTCAACATCTGCTAGTAATATTGATTAACAGTGACAATAATCCCAAATTATTCCCATGATTCTTCCTAAGTGTAAGGAATGAGTATGAAAAACGGGGGAAGAATGCCCTTTATTTCTGGGGTCCATCTGAAATGGCAGTGGATGGTCATATCCTTGAGTCTTTGGTTGAAAATGTAGGCAAATGACAACTCTAAAAAAATTGGTTAATGTTTATTTTCTGCTCCCTTAAAAGAACTATTCAGATATTGTAAAATGATATAAGTATTTTACTATTTTTCTTGGCTGCACCACGCAGCTTTCAAGATCTCAGTTCCCTGACAGAGACTGAACCTAGGGCCATGGCAGTGAAAGACCAAGTCCTAACCGCTGGGCCGCCAAGGGAGTTCCACTGTATTTTAACTTCTTTACTTTGGAGAATAATTTGGAGCTATTTTATCCCAAGCAACATAGGGTATACTACATTCAATTAGATACACTGGAACATTGTGTATTATGATTATCTGTATGCCCACTAACCATAAATTCTGTGAGGGCAGATGCAACGTCTGCCTTGCTGACTGGCATTCTCTGTGTTCACAACAGGTGATCCCAGCATATGTGCTAAATGGATAAGGGAACCAAACGGGCTTATAAAAATGAAAACCACAGTTGGTTAGCACGAGGCCATGAGAATGTGCCTTACAGACCTCCAACTGGGTGAGAGGAACCGACCGAGGGCCCCAGGTGCCGGCTCTGACACTCATCCTCGTGCTTGGGCCAGGGCCTTGCTTCCCACGGCTGTTCCCAGGCAAGAGCTGACCGCAGCGGGGACTCCAAGGCACACCCACCCTCTGGAGATACGAGACTCCCCTGGTGGCCGACAGACTCGGCTCCCCCACCAAGCTGAAGTCCAGGGCGTTTCTAACTTTCCCTCCCTCTCTCCCCACTGGAAGGAGGCTTGCATGCAGTCTTACAAGCTCTCTCCTCACGTTCTCTTTCACAAGTGTCCCCTTGATAAAACCCTCACACGGTTAATTTTGTCTTGACAGTGGCTTCTTAGAGGACTGCAACTAACATAGAAACTTCAAGATGGAGCAACTCTCTGGAAAACGAATAGCTCCATTTTAGCATCTAGTTTTACCATAAATGAACATAGCATATTAAAATGTAATAATATACTACATAACATTTTGTTGTAAATGCATACATATACCACACCATATGACTATAAATTATTAGTCTCCTTTGAATTACACATGATTTGCATGCAATGTTAGTCTTTGGTCAAGATTCACACCTTAGGCTATCAATTAATTCATACCTATATTCTTAGGGGAATTAATTGATTCAGACTCTAAAGTTCACTGCGGAACTTGGACTTTAATCTTATTTTTCAGCATGAGTGATATGAGTTTTAATAATACACTATTCTTGAGTAAAAACTTTAACATCTTTAATTCCTTACTAATCTGCAATATTAATTATAAAAAGGGAAACAAGTATCTATATAATGAATGTTATTAGTCTACTGTTTGATTAATACAATCTTCCTCATAGAATGCAGGTCAGTTTCCCAATTGTTTTATAATATATTTAACATATTTCTATTCACACAAAATAGTTTTATCAGCAAATCTGGCATTAAGTTTGAAGATGCTGTTTCTTCAAAAATATGATTTTATCAACATTATGCATAGTTGTTAGAATTTTTAATCTTTTTAATTTTACATTTTTTTGTAAAATGCCTCAACTCAGACCCTGCTAGACTGAGGAACTCTTGACATTGAGATTTATTATAATTATTTGATCTTTTTTATTACTGTAGTTGAATTTATGTGATTTATGCTATTAAACTCACTTGGGATTTTCCAGTTAAGCTTCCAGATATCTAAGTAGTACTTTACACATATATTTCATGTCCATCTAGCATACTAGAAGAACAATTCAGTTCATATTTCCTTTATTTGGAGAATAAAAGCATACAACATTGGCGCTTGTCACAATGCTAGAAAGACTATAAATATTTGTAAACTTTAGTATTAACCTTCTCAGAGCCAATATCTGATCATTCACCCACAGATTTAATCAAGCATTCTCAAGATTCTAACATTATGTACAGGGAATGTAAGAAAAGATATATCAAGGTACAAGTAATTGAAAAGGTCAAAAAATAAAATATCTCATTTACTATCTTAGACAAAATATTCCAGATTAATGTGAAATATCAAACTTGGAATGAAAATCAGACTACAGGAAGTCCTCCAACCTCACATTTATATCTAAAAAGAAAATCTCTTTTAAAATTTATTGCCCCTCTTTCCGTTTAGTCTTTGTTGGCAAGTATTTAAAAAGCACATGTTTTGATGCTAAAATGGCAAGAGTATGTTTCTATTTCCATGCTATTATCACAGGTGACTGGTGGATAGAAATAAGAATTATAAGGCATTTAGACAGATGCTGGGTTATATTATAAGTCAGCACGAGTGGCTGGCCACTGCCTTCAACAGCAGAGAGGATCCAGGCCACAACCGGAAACATATTCACTAATCAGCAGAATGGCAATTGCTTTCTCCTCCATATTCTTCTGACCTAATCCTAGTGCTATCATTAGATGATGGTTTATACGTTTGGCAGCTGATTGATATATGGTGTGTTATTTATACCTTTATTATTTGATATTTTTGAAGTGTGAGAGTGAGACGATGTTTCATTATGCTGGACTGACATACGGCAGACACCAGCATGGCGTTACTATTCAAGGAGGATGCTTGTTCATCTTACACAAAATGCCCCAGCTCACAATTACACACACCCCTGAGAAAATACAGTTTCTGCCTTGATTGTCATTCACTTCACAACTGAAATAAGGCAAGCAGTTCCTTTTGGCATGATGAATCTGTGTGTGTGTGTGTGTGTGTGCGCGCGCGCGTGCATATCTGGAACATGACTCTTCTGGTCCATGTTTATGCATCATGATTAGGCAAAAGGCCATTCCTTTTACTTACCTATAATCCTGCCCAGTACAAGGGATCTGACTGCACTGAGTTCTGTACCTGAAGCCAGGTGGACTTGCCTCCTCATGCTCTCATCAATCTACAAAATTGTTACATGAGATGCAAATGTCCACACAGATGTTGTCATTGAGAAGAGGACAGGAAGCAAAGGAAGACAAAAGAAAATGATAAAATAGGCAATTGTTAATATGGCCCCAAAGATTAGAAAAACAAAGTTTAAAGTCAGTCATTTATACAGGTGAATATTATTTTCTAAACTACTTCTATGCTACTCTCAGATACCAGTGCACCCTACCTTCTATCCCCTTATATCACTTTATTTTTCTCCACTGTGTAAGAAATTCAAATGGAGAAAACCAACAAAAAGATACAAGTTATCTTCATCTTGATATTTTTACTTAGCTGGGTATTTTTACTTGAGTCATTCAGCTAAGAAATTTTCCTGTATCTAGAGGGCTGAAACATATGAGCTTTTCTTCAAAAGCTGGTAGAGTGAATAATTCAACTTTCTCTGCTGTAACTCACATCATTTTAAAATTCATTCTGAAATTGTGATCATTAATTTCTGTGCAAGAAATATGGCTGCATGTACAACCATCTGAAGTGAACTGGTTTCATGAGAGTAGCAACAGTTCTGCCAATAGTAGATTATGCTAAACTAAAAAGCATTTCCCACCTGAGTAAAGTAAAACAAATAGGAAAGTTTGGCAATTTTAAGTATCAAATACGATTAATCTCTTAAACCGGATCCTATTGCTAAAAATACTGAGCACATATGATGGTCTATGATCTGTGTTAGGGTGGCACTGGAAGAATGATTTTATTTAATCTATCCATTATCCAATTTCTGCTGCAGGTCCGTCACGCTGGGGAGCTTAACTGTAAACACTGCTTCTGTTGTATTTTCTCTATTACCTCCACAAAGACCACTGCTTCTTCTCTGTTAATCTGTACGTGGTGAAGTTGCCCATCAGCCATGTTTTTGAAATCAAAGTTAACAACATCAGGTTCTTGATATCTATTTAGCTTGTACCTGATCTGCAAACTTCCTAAAGTAGAGGGGAAAAGTTATAGTTTAGTTAAAATTATATTTTTTAAAACGCCTTTAAAAAAAACTCAGAGTCCTTTTTTGTTACTTACTAATTCCTCAGGAAGAATTCACAACAGTTCATTTGACTGTACACTTTCATCATAACTCCTAGAAGTCAGTTTCCATGTGAAATTGCACTATTTCCCCAAAATTAAGAGCAAATAGGCTGCAAATAAGCAGGCTCTTTCTTGCAAATATTTAATTTGTCAAATATGTAATTAAGCACATGCAAATCTTTGTACTAGCCTCTGACTTAAAATAATAAGGTTTAATATATTATGAAGTGCTAAACTACTGTGGAATATTGCTGTAACTTTCTGTATCTGTAATTCATCTTTCAAAAAATATGCCTACCATTCCTGAAATGCAACTGATGAATGGAATTACTGTTATCAAATACAGTTTTACTAAAGATAAGGAATATTTTTCAAGTGGTGATGGTTATAGAGTTTGGAATGAAATTAGGGTGAGATGAATAGTTTTAAGCCAAACTTACTATTAGAGTTAATACTACTCATTTAATTGCCTGCAAAGATGTCAGTAAATCTACTTCATAGGATATGTTTCAGTTTAACAAATATATGTAGATAAACTTCAAGCTCAAAATATATATTGTGAGGAGGAATATACTTATTGAACAATATTTTTTCTAATTTGGCATTCAGTGCCCTTGGGCCATATTTGATTTAGTTGAAATGATATATCTGCATGTTTGTATGTACCTTTGTTTTCCTCACCCAGACAATTTATTCATAAAATTTTTTATCTCTAACCCAGATAAAGGGACAAGAACAACAGTAAGTGGGTGTCTGTAGCACACACATCCTAAACCACACACTATTATCCTGCACTGATGTACCCATGACTACTTTATTGTCAAAAATCAGAACCAAGAGATTATTTTATGGACATTTTCTTATACATAATGCTAATTAGTTAACATTCTCTCAAAACTTCTCTACTTTGATTTGAAGGAAATATTTGTTATGTACAAACAGGCATTTTATTTCAAAATGAACCAGAAAATTGGTACTGACAATCACATGGAACAGTAAAGATTTTCTAGCAATAATAAATTATAATAAATATTTATCTACAGAAATTAAAAATTCACACAGAATATGTTAAATTACCAAAACTATAAGGCTATAAAGGCATTTTAAGTATTTTAAATAATCCTTTTAGATTACGTTTGCCCGACAGCACTGAAAAACAACACTGAATACACCAAGCAGGCACACTTTTTCCTGTTTGTAGTCTGAGAAGCAAGAACATGAGAATCATCCACATTATTACGGATCTAATGCTCTGATACTATTTTCTCTCATCTGAACAGCACTCACCATTTTTGGCAATGATAACGGAAAGGTACTCTTTATAAAAGGAACTCAGATAGAGCAGTAGGCTTGGCGTCTGTGTTGTGCGGAAGCTAAACTTGATCGTTTCCCTGCTCAGCCTGGTGTCACCATGAAACGAAGCTGCGTGGGAGCTGGAATTCTTACTTAAGGAGTAATTTTCTTGAAAATTGTAAGTCACAGATGAGCCAGATCCAAAATAGGCAGAAATCTCTGAAATGATAAGCACATTTTATGTTAAAAAACTGAAGAACAAGGATTGTTCAGTGGTCTCAGTTATGATACTTTTTAAATTTAAAAAATAACTATCCAAATTTTAAAAAATCATTTTACTTACATAAGTGATTTTAATACTTAGGATTTATTCATTTAGGATTAGTATTTATTAATTTAGGATTAATATCCTAAATTCATACACACACACACACCCCAAATATATTTATATAAAAATGAAGAGGATGGTGGAAGGGGCAACTAGTTTGGGATTCCAGAACTCTTCCCTTCCTCACTGTACAGGTGCTGAATGTGAGCTGCAGGTGATGTGCATGGATAATGTGGCAAATCTCCACTCAGTGCTTCAGGGGTTTTGTCTGTTTGTTTTATTTTTACTATGCACAATATTCGTTTTAAATCCTATATACTATGTGGATGCAGAATAACATTCCCGATTACACTTTGCAAGATGACCTGGAAATCATTTAGATTCAGAAAATGAAGACATGCTCTTGTAAAGACATGGTCTTAGTTCTAACTTTAAACAGGAGAATTATAGAAAGGCAGAAGCAGTGGTTGATTACCCAAGGTTGATTTTAAATGATGTTATTCCTGATGAAACATAGATGATTTGAAGAGTTAATTTTGGTCAACTTTCCTTTAAATAATCCCAAATGTTTTTACTGCAAAGTAGGATTGCTTCAGTTTGAGGCCAATTTTCGTTAGTCTCCTTCAGGTAAAGGTTCAGGAGTCCAGAAACACTTAAGTAAAGCAATTGAATTAAACTGGATGACAATTTTCTATGAGGAACAATGAAGGTGTAGCAAATGTTTGTCTGTTCACAGAAGTCTGCTCAGAACACTAACTGCTACACTCAGCTTTTCCCTTCTTCCATGACTTCGATCAGTGAATAAGACCAGCTGAAAAATGGTCCACTGTTTCACTTCACCAACAGAAAGTCGGCATTTCATAGAACAAGGTGCCTGAGTATCTCTATTTTGTTACACATTGATGCTCAATGGAAAAGTTATTTCTAGTCCTGTTTGCTAAATAATATTTGTTTGCTCAAACAACAAGGCTTCCCAAATGTCTCTGCATGGCTGGCCATCTTCAAAAATAACAACAATGCTTGTAATGATTTTAAAAATGAGAACTGCTCCCATGGGACTGGCTGTTGACACCTGTATTATTTAAGAGCATTAACAGTAGGTAGAAAAGAGCAAATGGAGCGGCTGACACTTTATACCACTAGAGGCAACTATTAGAAGGTTTATCATTAAAAGACAGTTTTTAAAGAACTGAGGCCAATATTTAAATAATGTAATGTCATGGGCATAAAATAGGCAATTTGCCCTCCCCCAAAAAAATGTTCAGGAATGGAAATATTTGTGTTTTAAATAGTTACAAAGAAAAGAACTGCTGGAGCTTTTATTCACGTGGGGTCGGTCTTGCTGGGGGGGCCCATGTCACACTCACCATCCGAGCAGAAGGGCCCGGCGTACGCGGAGGAGGTGCAGTCACAGGAGAACCCGCTGGGCTTCTCCCTGCATGCGCCCCCGTGGCGGCACAGCCTTCCGTAACTGCTGCAGTGCCCTGCGCACCCCGGCTCCACTCCCGGAGTCACCCTGGCTCTGTCTTCCAGGTCCAGGGCCTCTCCGTTCAACTGCAGAGACCGAATGCAGCCCAGGAAGCCCCTCTGCCGGGTGGCCGTTCCACCTACAAGGCAAATGTTGCGCATGCGAACAGGTTCCGGGCTGTTTTGTTCAGGATGTTAAGACCAATTAAGACTGAGGCCTCACAGAGGCCAAAATCATGGCCTTAAACAGAGAATGGCCAGAGTTGGAAGGGTCTATATGCTTTTGGAAGCATGATTTGTGACAAAATACTCTTAAAAGAATTCATAGAGAGAAAATTCATTGATTCATTTTTTCCCCCAAAGGTTGAATTTGTTACAGATTTGTTTTCTAAAAGAGTTTTATAAAACTTTAGAGACTTTTAATACCAGTCTTTTTTATTTTAAAGAACAAATTAAAGGCTCTATTTCACTTTCATTCAAAATAACAGTGATATGTATTGACATTCTTATGTAGAAACTAATTTTTTCTTGCAATTTTTAATAAGCATATATTTGTGGGTGGAGGAGGGCATGGCAACCCACTCCAATATTCTTGCCTGGAGAATCCCATGGACAGAGGAGCCTGGTAGACTCCCCTGAGGTCACATGGAGTCACAAAGACTTGGACAGGACTGAAGCTTCTTAGCATGCATGAAGGCACCACACACGTGCTTGTCTTTCATATTGAAACCTAATCCTGATGCCGGGACAGCCTTCATTAGTGAGAATTATGAAGGAATCCCTGAGTTCTTCTAATTTGACAGTGCATTAATGTGATCTTTTGGTCATTATCCTTTCATCAAAACACGCAGGATCAGATTGAGCGCCAGAGTATCTGCTTTTGTTGGGTGTATTTCCCAGTGAATTTCTTCCTAGTGTTGGACCAGTGTTTGTTGCCTTAAGATTGGAAAGATTCTCATGATCATGGTATCTCCCCTGCCAGGTAAGTATGGGGGAAGTGGATTAATGGAGACACACAGTGGTGTAACATTTATTGAATGACAGGTAACAACATGCACTTACCAAGCCGCCCTTGAAGAGGTTTTAAGAGTTTGGGAAGAATCAGACCCTGCCATCCTAAAGGCAGCAGAGGAGGAAATGGAGATCCACTCCAGTATTCTTGTCTGGAGAATTCCATGGACAGAGGAGCCTGGAGGGCTATAGCACATGGGATCGCAAAGAGCTGAACATGACTGAGTGGCTAACACACACACATCATAAGGCAGAGGTTCTCAAATGTCAGGAATATGAGTATCTCATGGGAAGGCTTCTTAAAAATACAGGCATAGGCTCCCAAGAAATACTGATTGTGGTGGGCCAGACATAGGCTGTGAATCAGACTGAGACAGTCACCGGACTCCAGTATATAAAGCACTGTCTCAATGGGAACGAAACCTCTGAGTGCACTTGGACATACAACGGTGCCCAGGAATATCAGTAAATTAAAGCTCAGAACTTGAAATAGGGAAATAGTGTCCTAATCTAAATAATCTGGGTGATTTACCCAGAAACATTTAGATGTTCTTGGAACCTCTGAAAACGGGCTTCATCTTCTGAACAGATGATGCCATCTCACCGCCAGGACTGTATACCCGCTCCATACCTGTTCTCTCTTCCTAAAATGTGTTCACTCCCTCCTCCCTCACTTCATCTAGTGAGCTCCTAATCTAGCCCCATTTATGTAAGGTCTCCTTATTCTCAGAGATTAAAGAGGTGGGTTTTTTGTTTAATTATAGAACCAGAAATTTTCCAGAAAGACCCTACAAAAATATGCCCTTGTCATCATCCAGCAAGCTTTACATTTGAACAATTTACTTTGTATATTACCGGTGTCTCTCCATCAAAATACACATTCAGTTACGGCTATCTCAATCACACTGAAACCCCAGTACACAGAACAGCACCTGACATGTAATTTGTTGTTGTTCAGTCAACTCTTTGCGACCTCGTGGACTGCAGCATGACAGCCCCCTTGTCCTTCACTAGCTCACACATAATAGCGTTGCAGTAATTATTTGTAACTATAGCTAAATAAGCATTAGTCATAGCTAAGTATTAATACTCAATAATTTACTGTTAATAATCAACACCCTCATTCATGAAACTGATTGTAGTAGCAGCTGGGAGCACGGTGCTTCAAAAGTTGAAGAGGGGTACATTTCCTCACAGGGATGTTTGGGTCCCTGGGACCGAGAACATCGATAAAACTCAATGAATATTTCTGAATAAATTAATTCTATGTTTTTGGACAATGACATACCATGAAGACAAAACTAAAAGAAGCCTGGACTCATGGTGTAACATAATTCAGATTCATAGATGTAATGCTCCCAAATAACATCTTAATTTATCTACTTAAAAAATAATTGCAATATATAGGGGAACTATATGTAACTTTGTTATGTTTAAAAAAAACTGGTGAGAATATTTTTTGCCATTCTCACCAGTTTTTTTTTAAAACATTACAAAGTTACATATAGTTCCCCTATATATTGCAATTATTTTTTAAGTAGATAAATTAAGATGTTTATTTGGAGTTTCAACACCAAACTCTCAAAAATTCATAGAATGGATAGACCGAAAAGTATAAGGACATAGTAGAGCTGAAAAGCACTATGAACCAATTCAACATAATTAAGATTTATACAATTTTCACACAACAGGAGGATACAAATTCTATTCAAGTTCTCATAGACTATAAACCAGGAGAAACTGGAACATATCCAAGGACATAAAACAAGGTGCAAAATTTTCATGGTCTAAAGGTATTGAGTCAAATGGCTGTATTAAATGTCTATATTCAAATGGCTTCAGCTGACATATTTGCAGCTCTTCAATGAAGAATATGAAAGCCGTAAGGGGGTGGGTGTCATATGCTCTATTTATAAGTCCAGAATTCGTGTGGTATGGAGCCAGACACCGTACGATTCCAGGTTCCTGGGCAAGGCAGGAAGGAGCTGATGTTTTCCCAGAGTTCCAGAGTTGCTGTCACCCTGCTGCACTCCTCCTAAGGTTCTCAGTCTTCTGCAACCCCTGGCGCCTCTCTGCACCCCTCATCTCCAGGACATCTTCCTTCCACATCCAGGTCGCTGCTATCTCGACTCAGTAAGAATGTCTAGGGCTCAGTCAAGTCTGTGACAGAGACTCTTGGGGCAGCCTTGCTGGTGTTCTCTTTCCTGGGTGAGGAGGGCAGCCTGCAGCCTTGGTTTTAGCTCTGGCCCAGGCACTCTTTGGAGCAGGGCCAGAGGCTATGAAGTCTGCATTAGAGGTGTGTATTCCTGGTGTATTTCACTGACTTCATGTTACAGCATTTTAAATCATGCTGTAGAGTTTATAGTGCACAGCACCACTAAGTCACAGTCTGTTATGCATTTGTCACTCTGCAATATCCACAGGCTCTCTGATTTAGGGGTTTATCTCAGTCTGCCAGTGACATAATAATAACTAAATAACCTGGAGTCCAACAACTTAAAAGACATCCATTTTCATCAGCTCCAACTCATTCATTCTTGTTTGTTTTCTGCTGTTTTTGTTGCAGATGAGAAACTAGAGGCACAGACAAGTTCAAGGACTAGCCCGTGGGCATAGCTGAGAAATTTCAGAATAAACACGTTTAGTCAGAGGCAGAGTTAAGACAAAAACCTACAGTTGGGGACGCCTCCTGCCTCTCCACACCAAAACCCGGTCAAAAAAGAAGAGTTTCATTTTCTTCTCCTCGGATCACTTGATTTCAATGGCATTTCAGTCCTGTAAGATAATTTAGCAGCTCTTTTCTGGACACTGTCTGATACTGGAGGTACAAAGTTATATCAGTGGGTCTTGGTCTCACAGATCTCACGGTCTAGTAATGGGTTTAGGAAGGGAAACATGGGCATAGCATGATGTCAGAGGTAGAAATAGACACCAAGTGGAGAGGAAGGTCAGAAGACGGGGATGTTCACAGGTAGAAATACATGTACATATGTGTGAAATGCATGCTTAAACAGCATCTGTAATAGTGAGAGGAAAATCAACACAGTTTGTAAATATAATTTCTTGATTCTGGACTTTTTTAAAGAGTTTCGTGTGTGTGTGCTCAGACACGACTGAGTGTCTGACTCTTTGCGATCCCATGGATGGTAGCCCACCAGGTTCCTCTGTCAATGGGATTTCCCAGGCAATGGAGTGGGTTGCCATTTCCTTCTCTAGGGGATCTTCCCGACCCAGGGATCAAACCTGCGTCTCCTGTATTGGCAGGCGATTCTTTACCACTAAGCCACCTGGGAAGCCCTTTTAAAGAGCTAATGTTTGCCTAATCAAATAGCTTTAAATTACATTTTTAAATTACCAAGAAAATGTGATGTCCGATTAAATAAACATTTGCAGCACGTGGATATTGAAGATTTTTACTTTACCATTAGGCTGCAAGTTACTAACCTCTCATTTTAAGATGTAGCTGTTCGGGAAAACATGGCTCATGCAAATAGGGTTAGGCTTGAAAGCTTAATTAGGCATTCCAACGACTTCTCCAGGTTAGAGGATGTCCAATTAAAATGAGTTGCAGTTTGATTAATTGATTCTGGATGTTTCTGCTGAGTTATTATGTTTGGAACCATCTTCCAATTAATTTTCTATCAATTTACCTGCCATACTGTATCAGATATAAGGGATTATGGAACTTCATATACACTGGGTATTTTGTGAAACAAACACCCAGCCTTTCTATGTGGATGAACACAACCGAATCTGTTCACTCACACAACGGGATTGGGATATTGCACCTAAATAAGTGTGCTAGGTGCTGAGCGAAGGCTGAGTTCAATCCTTTTGTCACGTTCCGCGCTCTCAGGAAGTTAGACTAGGTGACAGATGCTATTGTCGCAGAGGGCAAGCTGGCTCTTTCCTCTGCCAACTTCCCACTACTCCTGTGGCAGGAAGACCTTTAATTTTTCAGTGGCAAATTATTTATGTGCTGCGCTCGAATGTAATTGAGGATTAACCAGGAACTGTGCAATCCATCCAGGGGCCTTAGAAGAACAAAGAGAGCAAGATCCCCCAAAATCCAAAGTTGCAGAGGCTTGTTGGGCAGAGGACAGGGCTCTCTGAGCAGGTCAGTCTGCAG